AGAGCAGTCTGACCTGGTCTCTGTACTCCTAAGGTTTGTGAATGGCAGTCAAGAACCCTCAACATGAGAGGTTCCCCAACAAACAATGTATCCCACTGAGGGGCAGAACACATTCATGCCCATCTAGCACCCAGAAAATATCAGGAACTTGAAGCGTAACGACCAGGATGCTACATAGATGCAACACAATAAACACAATGTGCAGGAGGCTCAAAGAGAGCCCAGAAGTGCCACTCACACGAAAATCTTCAGCTGCTGAAAACACCTTCCAGGACGCAATGCCCTGACCCAGACATGACTAACACCTGCAGTACTTCAGCATCCTCCCTCCAGAGTTAACTCCTAAGAGTGGTCTCAGGCTGTAGAGAGAGCCTGGTGCTCCTCTGCAGGGACCGCAGCAGTCAGTGGCAGCAGCCTCACCTTTGACAGCTGTGCACTAGCAGATCCAGTTGCTGTAGCACAAGGGAAGGAGCTGCAGGAAGAAGTCAGTCCATTACATCACACCAGGGAGCAGCAGGAGGAGATCAACAGGATCTTCAAAGATCGTGCACAAACAAGAAGCTAAATGCTCTGCTGCTCTTCACCTAGAAAACAGAGGCCCTCAACACCACTGAAGATGAACAGGATGGACATCTCCAGGTCACTGGATTAGTATCAGTGCTAGTAACCACTTAAAAGAGAGGTCTGGCAAATTATTTCCTCAAGTGTCTGCACACTGAGGCAGAGTTTGGTTCACAAAGAAGTATCAAGTTTCCAAGAGTGGCCATAAACCTATGATGTGACAAGAATGAGAGACCTGGCACAACACGCACAACCTAAGCAGTGCCATCAGTGGGAACAGGGTATTTAGGAAAGATTTACACAGAATAATACAATGGGGAGCTGCACTCTACTGAAACAAACTCCTTGAAGGCACAGAGCTGCAAGTGTGAAACTGAAATCACTCCTGCTGAGAGTCTCTGAGTCAAGATCAGAGGGAAAACGCTGGAGATGGTGTGGAGAAGATAAGTGGATGAGGCTTTCCACAACCAGCTGGCAGAAGTCTCTGGACTGCAGGTTCTGGCCCCTGGGAGATTTCAGTTCTCAGAAATCTGCTGGGAGGGTAACACCAAATTGTGTAAGCAAGTCAGGAAGCTGCTCTAGTAACAATTTCATATTTAAAGTGCCAGAGGTTGGTTGCTGACTAGCTGTTCAGAAACAGGGAAGAACCTGTGACACTGCAGCAGCAGATGACAGAGAGCTGTAGTGACCAAAAGACAATGGAGTTCAGGACCCAAAGGAAGGCTTCAAAGGCAAAGAGCAGATTAAGCATTCTGGACTTTCACAGCTCAGGCTCTGGTTTATCTAGGGAATTGTTATGTAGAAGTCCCTTAGAGGCTGTCACAGTGAGAAAGTGCTCTTCAGGTTGGTCTGAACTTTTGCAAAAACTTTCTAAGAGAGCTAAGTAACAAATTATCAAACAGAACGACTGGGAACTTCGTCAAAAAACACAGAGCTACTTAACAGATTAAAATGCAACAAGAAAGCATACAAGAAGGAGAAACAATAAGAAAGGACAAAGGAGGTATAAAATCATTGCCTAGGCATTTAGGCACAAAAAGGCATTTAGGCACAAAAAATTGGAGTTAAAAACTAGCTAGCAACATAAATGGCAGCAAGAAATGATTCCACAAAAAAATTACAGGAGTAAAAGAAAGCTCAGGGGAAATCTAGGTATATTAATGAATACAGAACACAGCCTAGAAGTAGTACAGAAAAGACCAAAGTACTCAAAATCTCTTTTGCCTAAGTCTTCACAAAGACTACTCCAAAACTTCTCCATGCAATGGTACAGTCAGAAAGAAAAACAGCAAACAATGCGAGCAATTGGGTGAGATGGTTTAGAGTGAGGTGTCCCTGCCCATGGCAGGGGGGTTGGAACTAGGTTATCTTAAGGTCCTTTCCAACCCTAACTATTCTATGATTCTAAAAAAGGGTTATATAGACTCTTAAAGAAGCTAAAGGTGTTCAAATCCAAGGAGCCATACGGACTTTTTCCAAAGTGGCAAGGCAAGCTTCCTGGTGAGCCCATCACAACACTGTGACAGATCTAGATACAGTGATATCTAGAAAAATCAATTATTGGGGGAGATCTCTGATGACGAGATACAGGTGATAGTAACAGACATTTTTAACAAAGGCAAAAGGAGGATTGAGGATCTACAGGATCCTCAGCCTCAGCTCAGTCCCAGAAAAGATCATGGAGTACATCCTCTTAGAAATTATTTCCAAACACATGGAGAACAAGAAAGTAATCAGGAATAGTCAACATATTTACCAAAGGCAAATCAAGTTCGAACAGCCAGGTGCCTTTTACAATGAAATAATTGGCTATGCAGATGAGGGCAAAGCAGTGGATGTAATATGTTGATTTTAGCAGGGTTTCTGACACTATCTCTTACAGGATTTGCATTTGGAAGCTGGGCAAGTACTGGCTGGAAGAACAGACTGCTAGGCACTAGGCACATCAAAAATTGGCAGAACCACCAGACTCAAAAGGCAGTGATCAATATCTTGTTGTCTAGTGCGTAGCAGGTTACCCCAGGGGCTGATGCTGGGGCCAGTACCATTCAATATCTTCAACAATAACATGAATGATGTGACAGAAAACATGCTCAGCAAATTTGAGGGCGACACTAAACAGAGAGTGAGAGCAGGCATGCCAAACAGCAGAGCTTCAGTCCAATGAGACCTTGAAAAATTTCAGGTCTACACAGAACCTTCATGAAGATCAGAAAGGGGAAGCACAACTTCTGCACCAGTACAAGATCATCTCAGACCTGCTGGAAAGACCCTGTGAATATACTGAATGCCAGGTTAAATATGAGCTAGCAATGTGCTCTCACTGCAAATAAAGCAAACCGTCTACTGGGCTGCATTGCAAGGAGCATGGGCAGCAGAGTGAGGGAAAACAACTTTTCCTCTACACTATTCTGGCAAGAATTCACCTGAAATACCACATCCAGTTTTAAGCCCTCAGTTCACAAGATACTAGTAAAATGGCAAAGACCTAAAGGCCAGTGGTTAAGCTGGTCAGCAGGCTGCAGCACACAAACCCACAGAGCTTGCAGAAGCTGAGCATTTCAGCTGGTGAAGGGTAAAATCAATGGACAATCTTAACGGCAGCTTAACCAGGAGTCAGAGAGACAAGTCAGGCAAACCCTTCTTAATAGCATCAGACAGTATCAGAAAGGGCAGCAGCCACTGAGTGTGCTGGAAAAGGTTCGTGCTGGACACAAGGAAAAATTCTATGCCAAGAAGGCAGTGCATCATTGGCGCAGGGGTTGAACTGGAGCGCCCTTCCAACCAACACTCCTCTGATTGTGTGATCTAAGACCAATTTAAACAAAAGAACGGTACTGAGTAAATGTTACACAATGTTAAAATTTAAATGGCCATTCTTTTCTGAAAGTAGTTTACATCTTAACTTTTGCAGTTCACTGGAGGTCCACACTGTTATTACATACATAACACCACATTTAGTCATAACATAAAAATGTCTGAAAAAATCATACTTGGCCTTATGAGGATGCCTTTTGTTACAGCAGCACAAAATCATTTTATGGAGTTGCTGAGCACCATGTATCTTCCTCCCAGGCTTTTACAAGCAATATGAAGGTACCACTTTAATGCAGGTAATGTACTACTCTTGGTAGAGTTCATTGCCCTAACAACATCAACTCAATCTCTGCACCCCCCTTTTAAGTCCACTTTCTCCACATCAGACACAGTATTCTTCCTGCTACCTTTCATTTCAACACTATGTTCTTGCTACCTTCAGCATTTTATCACGTATCTATACAGTGAAGATTTTACTGTTTTCAAAACCCTTCTTTCAATAGTTATATGCCATTAGAGGGGAAGGTGACTCCCCTTCTACCCCACACTGGTAAGACTTCCCCCTGCAGTCCTGCATCCAACTCTGGGGCTCCATAAGAAGGATGTGGAGCTCTTAAAGTGAGTACAGAGGAGGCCACGAAAATGATTCAAGGGCTGGGACACCTCTGCTATGGAGAGAGGCTGAGAGAGCTGGGTTTATCCAGCCTGGAGAACTATTCCATGATTCTGTGCTCATCCACTTACTCTCCCACCAGTACTGTCCCTTCTGTGTTTAAATATTTTTTTCCCTAAATTCACAGACTTTGTTAGAGACCTGCAGCAAAGACACAGATAAACGCTTTGCACAATGGGAGAATGCTCTCATGACTCAAGAGCACCCAGATGCCACTGTACTTCCTATTGAATAGTGCTGACAGTAACCTTGCAATGCTTTCAGTTCCCCCGAGCGCTGACAGGTGAAATTGCTTAATTCTCAGCTGCCACTTTGCTTACCTGACAATGCAAATTTACTCAAAATGAAAGGAGTTCCACTAGAAAATCACAGAAAGAGCTATTGTCCAAGAACTTAAAAACACTTTGCAGATGTTACGGTTTGAAGATCCACACCATGGTTAGGCTTTATTAACAGAAAAAGCAACGACTAGGGAAATCTGTTTAAAACCCTGAATAGGATTATGCCCCTCAGTAAAAATTAAACAGAAAACTCATACACAGCCAAGAGAAGAACAAGCATTCGCTTGCCGGCAGCTCCAGCAATCGATTAATTCCTATTCCTAAGACCGGACCGCACAGCAAGCGTCACTGTGCACCTAAATGACGAATCAACCGCACTCTTCAGGCACCCGCCTGACTCCCCATGAATACCCCCCTTCGCTGCCGCTGCCCGACACGAGCACTTCACCCGCCGCCATATTACCCCCTCCCCACACACCCCCCAACGGCTGACTGCCAGGCATGCGCCGCAGCCCCGCGCAGGCGCTGCAGGAACGACTCCCTCCCCACACCCCACACCCCCCCAAGCCGCCGCCCTGTGCGCACGCGTGCAGGGGTCGCCTGAGGGAGCGGGTGTTCGCATTCCCACCCGCGAGGCGAGGGGTGAGCGGGATGGGGTCAGTCCTTACCTGCCACCGGCATGTGCTGGTTCCTGCCGGGGAGCGCTTCTTCCCGCTGCGGCAGCCGGGAGGCCGAGTCGTTCATCCTGAAGGTGAAGCTGAAGAGTGAGCGGAGGAGGTGCCGCGGCGCTGCCAGCATCACCCCTGAAGGGGAGTTGGCGGGCCGGAGGGGTGAGCGGCCCGGCTCGCACTGCCCTTTAAGGACGGGCGCCGGCCTGAGCGGGAGGGCGGGGTGGGGACTCGAGGCGGGGTGCGAGGCCTGCCCCCTGCCGAGCGGTGGCGGGCACCGCCGGACTCACACCACACCTACCCCTGGCCTAGGGACTCTGGACGGGGCGCCGCATCCCCGTTGTTGTGTCTTGAGGGGATCTTGGTGAAACACTCGCCGCCCACCCCGGCTCTGGAGGGGGCACATAACTCACTGTGCCCTGGGAGATGTGCCCTTAGGTCTGCGTGCACCGAGGGGTGAAGGCACCATTCGGTCACACTGACATTCCTCGTAGGGATTGGCTGCCGTGGTTTGCATGCGCCCACCCAAAAGTAGTCCAGTCTTGGAGCTCGGCCTGCTGAGCTTTGACCCGGGCCTTCCTTTCCGAGCTGTAAACGCCTGTGGGGCATGCTCCTTGCTCTGGAAGACCATGCAAGGCATGCGTCATCCTTGGAGGCCCCATGCAAGGTATGATCCATGCTTGGCGTACCTGTCCAAGGCATGCTCTGTGCTTGGAGGCCTCATGCAAGGCATGTTTCATGCTCTGGAGATCCCATGCAAGGCATGCTCTGTGCTTGAAAGCCCCATGCAAAGCATGAAGCATGCTTTGAGATCCCATACAAGGCATAGGACACTCCTTGCTCTGGAGGCCCCATGTGCAGTTTGGCTCAGTGTGTTTTTACATGGGCAGTGCCTCGGGGGGGTTTTGTATGCATGGACCTCTTGGGGTATGGCTGTATGTCCTCTCCACCACCTGGCTGGCTCTCCATGCCCCCAGTTGAGAGGAGAAGGGTTATGCAAACACATTCAGCAAAAGATGCCACACAGACTGGTTGTGCAGTTATATGTTTTACTGTACAACAATCTTTTTTTCACAGTTTCATATATGCAGCACTCCCCTATGTAATGTTTAGCCAGTGTACTGTATCATGCCAGACTTGCTGAGTACTTTATGAAGATGGTCCAAGTAGCATTCAACTCTAGAGACTGGTGTCTGCACGCATGTTTGTAATAAAAACATAGAAACAAAAAATGGACAGAGTATAAGTGTTTGTGGAAATAATCCACCATATCTTTGGGGGTAATACAGTGCAGACTGGATGTGTAACGTCAAGTTTCTTACAGGAAGACTTGCAGAAGCTAGAGGAATGGTGGTTTGTTCTTTAAACAACTGATGCTCATTCTGTGCATGTAGTCATGGTCAATAAGCAGAAGGGGAACTTGTACAAAATAAAGAGAGTTGTGAACTAGACAAGCATCTTGCAGTGAGAGTGTCAGTGTGGGAAAAAGTGTGCGAGTAAGAAAAAGCAAAGTTGCAGAAAGATGTGGTAGTAATTCAGTGGAAAATTCATCTGGAGGGTTTTGAAAAAGTTCCATTGGTGGCTGAATAGGAGAGAAGTTATGAAATTGCAGAGTAATGCCTGGTCTGTGAGAGGAAGGCCGGATAATTCACTCAAAAAATGGTCTATGACGAATGCAGTTCCATTCAGCTCATGATCAAGCTGTTTATGATACTCTTGAGGCATAGAATTTAATGCATCTTTATACAGGAGTTGGATATTTACAGCAATATTGAGAATCCCAGATGCTCCTAATTCATGTTTTAGGAGTCAGGCTTTCCGTAAAATTGAAACTTCAGATGGGAACCTGAAAGGCAAGCTGCCTCATCTCTGTTTTCAGATTCAGTGTTCCTGTGTTTGAAAGGTGAGCTACATAATCTTTGAGCACATGTAGTCCCAGGATTGCAGTCCATTTTTCAAGTTTTGTTAAATTCTGATATAGTTTGAATTGTTGAGACCAGGACTGGAGAGGACCTCAGGTGACCTCAGAAAAAAAAAAAATCTTGCAAGAGCCTGAAGAAAATGCATTAAATAAAGAATGAGTGAATATAGAGATGCATGAAGAGCTGTGATATTTTGACAGTACAAGTTAGAATCAGAAATGCTCAATAACAAAATGTAAATTTCATTCCAAATGTGTTTACCTAATCCACTGTTCTCTCATAATAGTTGTCCCATTATAGTTATGCTGATGTTTCCCAGCTCTCACTTTGTAAGAAGCCACTAAAGAAGGTTTTATACTGACCATTTCTTCTGCTTCACCATAAGTATATATACTTACTGCAGTACCTGCCAAGAATGTGTTTCTAAAACATGCACTGGTTAACATCACAATGGCTGGCAGTGCAATTTTCCGTTCAGAGTTAATGTATCTACTTTGTGAGCCTGAATGCCTAGCCTGAATCTTCTACTGAGAGCATCCTTGCTGCCTCTTTGTGAGGCATTACAATTTCATTGCCATCTTCCTTGCATGAATCGAGGTCAGTCAGAGGTGAAGGGCAGGAAAACAGACGAATGTTTAGCTGTTCAGCCTCGCAGATGAAGTGGATGAGATCTTTTAGAGCCCTGATGTGCTCCGAAATGCCAGCTGATGCAACACCAGCCTTGTCTCCTCTCCAATGATCCTAGTGATCCTCCAAGCTGTACGTGCTGTCCTGTCTATATTGTGAGTATCTCTTAAATCATAGGTGCCCTTTCCAGTACATTAATTCTTATAGGGAAAATTGCTTCCTCACCTTTTGCATTCAGCTGCATCATTTGTGAGGCTGGTTAAGAGCAGAGCAGGGCATGGCAGGATCAGCAGCGGGACTCAGAACAGTGGTTAGTGCAGGGACAGTGAGGCTGTTGGTGCATTTTGATTACAGCTGTTATTGCAGGAAACAGCCTTTGTTTCTGTGTACAGCAGTTCACACACTCTGCTCCTGCTTCATAACCAGATCCAAAGTATTAAATAGTAATAAGTCGTCAATGCCACTTAACAAATAAAAACTGATGGTTTTCACAAGTGCTCAGTGATGCCTGGCTCCACGGAAACAGAATACTTTTAAAACTAGATAAATCCCATTTGCACTTCAGGAAGGTGTGCACTGTCCCCTTCTCTCCATCCACAGGTGAGAGTAGGGGAGTCTGAAAATCACCTTCTAACTTTTAAAAGTTTTCATGGTAGGGATTTATCTGTCCAAACAAGGAGCAAAACATGGTTATATTTTATTTATGGTATACTATGCTTCACACTTAAAACATAGACTTTGTATGTACCAAGAAAGACACTGAATTAAGGGAGAGCAAGAAGAAACAGGATATGGACTTACCTGTGTCCTTTCAGCCAGGGCTCTACACAAATTCCTAGTCATCCAATCTTAGGAACTTGCTCAAAATCTACACAGCTTAGCCCAGAACCTGATATTTACTGTACATAATGCTTCCCTTCAGAGATAAATTTGCTAGTCTTTGTGGTTTAGGATAGGTGTGTTTTTCCCATGTAGCAAAATCTGCTGTTTCCTGACGCCAGTAAAGCCCTGTGTAACCATCTCTGGGGCAATAACCTGATTGTGAAGGCAAGTTTGCGCTGCAACATGCATCTCCTGGAAAGGCAATCTCTTTTTTTTTTTTTTAACTGAAAGCATGCAGTGAAAGATGATCCTCCACAGGCTTTAGTGGATTATTCAGTGTTTGATTACTGTTAAAAATATGCACCTTATTTTTAGGTTAGCTTCAGCTCCCACCCATTAAATCTTAGCTTATCTTTGCTAGGATGAAGAGATTATTTATCCAGTTTGTGTTATCCAGACTTACTGCTCTAGACTGTGGCCATCCCTCAAGATAAGATAAATAGGACTCTGGGAGTTCATCACAGCACAATATGTTTTCTAATTCTCTAAGCAATGCACTTCTCTGTACCCTCTCTGGGCTTTCAAATTACATACTTCCTGATTTTTTTACATTTTTTTTCACTTTGATGAAGGTGTGAATAATGAATACAGCATTCTGGCACTGGTCATACCAAAGCAAGTGCTGATGTAATGTGGTTTCTCAGTTACTGCTTGGGTTTGCTTTGATCTATGCAAGGGAAGTCTCAGACCTTCCAGCCTCAGAGGTGTACTGCTGTGCCTCCCAAGGGCTCTTAAGTAATTTACTGTCAATGTATAGAAAGCAGTTATGGCAAATACATATAAAATTGTGTTCTATGCATAGTTCTTGGCACCATTTAAATCTATAGTATAGACTTGTTCCAGTCCTCCATCTTTGTCACTACTTCTCCTGCAGCTTTGGGGCAGCTGCTGGAAGTTGGAAATTGCTTTCCATGTTCTTCTTTGTAATGGATAAAAATGACAAATAATCAAGCTTAAGACTGATGCTGACTGACATCACTGCAAACACACTGACTATATGATGATTGCGTCATTGCGGTCACGTTTTGTAACTTGGCCACATCACGAGATCTCTGAAAAAAACACTTATTTTCATCAGAACAAACCTGCTGGTGCCCAGTTTTAGCAAAAGGGATGTGTGCAGGTCCTAAGGGTTGTCAGTCAAGGGAACCAGAGACTGGTAAGTACCACAGTTCTCTTTGGAAACAAGAGACCCAAATTCCGGTATCAACAGCTGTCTCTGTTACCCCAGAAGTACAGTAAAGATGGTAATACAGTAAAACAATCTTCATGAGACAGTTTCTAGAGAGAGGTGGGAAGATTAATCAGTCCTTCATCTCTCTTCCATTTGGGATCTAGATGAGCATTTAGATAACAGATTAAGCTACATAGCTTATACTAAAAATGGAACTGACATAGAAGAGCCATCAACACTGTACCTCAGAATAATGCAGCGATTTGGGATTAAAAGGGGATGTCAAAAACAATGGGCAATTTAACAGAACAGAGGCTATAGCACATGCCAGGGAGAAGGCAAAAGTGCAGGATGGAAGTACCTCTTCACACAGGTTCTCTATTTTTCTAATGCACTACAGCAATTATGGAAAAAAAAAGTAATGCAAAAGGCAAGCTGTCTGCAAGGTTTGTTGCTGGCAGGCTTAACCTCTAGTTCTTTCTTCACTGGAGCTTCAAGGTGTGTTTTTGTAACTAGTTTCCACGTGCTTACACAAGCCAGGGTGATGCAGGCACCTGCATTTGGATGTCTATGTGTCTGCCCATCTGCGAATC